AACAAGAACTAGCCGCTGCAGCACTTCAAACACAGGGCGAATAACCCTAACAATTTTAAAATTTTAAAATTTGGACAAGAATTTAAAGGTTTAAAATTAGAACTAAAGATTTTATTATGGTGCTATTACAATAAACTCAAAATTAACGTGTGTGAAGTAATCTACGGGTGGACAGCTATCAACGAAGTAGAAGTTGATAATGACAGGGAGAGTGTTTTAGATGTTAAATTTTGAACTGGGTGCAGTGTGACAGCGACGTGAGTGTTATACACCTGATGATGGCCGTCTGAGGCCGAAACATGTAGTGTAGGGAGCAAGATCAAAGACACAAAATATATTGTTTGCACTTGAGACGGAGTTTAAATCTAAAAATGTTGCAGACGGGTGTAACCGTATAGAAACAACATAACTTTCCCGTTTCCCCTCTCATTCTTCCTCTGCAGACCCACACAATTAATGTACGACCACTCTCAACAGGTCTGAAGCAATTCGCATTAAAGCGAGCGCTGTTAACTGAAATCACTCTACTTATAAATTAGTTGATCTCATTAAAACGAAATCACACTTTTCGAACTGACGCATAAGGAGGTGTGTGTACCTACATGCCTCTCGTAGTTTCGATGACCAGTTCCTACCGCAGGTCGGGGATGCAGCGCAGAGTCCCCGGTTCACAGACCGACTGATGTACTTACTTGCGTACTTCACTGGCGTAATCGCTACCCCGCTCCAACAAGTGGTCAATGGACGCCTTCAGAGCCTCGTGCTTGCTCTTGGAGGCGACGCCGAACACCGTGACGTCAGAGACAGTCTTGCTTAGCTGGGCCACTGCTTGACCCTACAACCAGTTCCAAAACAACGTTATCTTTACAGCACGTGGTTTCAGATAAACCGAGGAGTTCTGTATTCTGTGGTGTAAGGCCGCGTAGTCCGGCGAAAGTCAACCGATGTGTCGGAGGAATATGTAGCCTCCATCTTCAGGGTCGAAAAGGCAAGAACGGAACAGTGTGAAACTGGCAAGCAAACAGAACTGCTTGCTGCCTACATCATGCTAGTTTCTTCAAGGTCGAAGAGTAAGACAAGTAAAAAACCAGCATGAAGATTGAGGCGATATGTTCCTCCGAAACATCGGTTGACTTTCACCGGACTACACGCGTTACTTCCCAGAAGATAAATTCTCCATAAGGAGCGCTGTGAGAACCTCACATCGTACATACAGGCTTGGGTTTGAAATAGAGTAAGTGGGCGGAAAATGAGAAATGCTATCAAAATTAGGGTTAGAACTCCACAAGAGACAATAAATCTAGGGAGACGTAGGTACAGATGAGAGGATAATATTAAAAATGAAGTGGAACAGGGCATGAACTGCATATACTGGCTCTGTGAACAAAGAAATTATCTTCGGCTTCCATAAAGGCGAGGAACTTCCTGTCCAACTCTCAGCTCTTCAGTAAGCGCCCTGTGTTGCTGCTAGAGTGCACGACCTCAGTATAGATACCGAGTTATCGGGTCACTGAAATTCACTCTCTCAAATAACAAAAACACAATTACTGACGGCATAGTACAGTCAGCGACCGCCTCTGTGGTCTAGTGGTCAGAGTTCCTGGCTACAGATCCAGAGGTCCGGGTTCGATTCCCGACGCTACCAGATTTTCTGATAAGTAGTGGGTCTGGAACGGTGTCCACTCAGCCTCACGAGAATAATTGAGGAGCTATTTAAAGGAAATAGCGGCTCCGGTCTAGAAAACCGAGATTAACGGCCGTGGGGATTCGTTGCGCTGACCACGTCACACCCTCTGTCCGCTAAAGTTGGTACTAACTTCGCCGACAAACGGCGGTCGCTCGGTCGGTACAGTTCGCTTGCGGACTACAGGCCACGAAGTTTGTTTGTTTTTTTGTTGCCCTGGTTAACGCTTTAACTCGAAAAGCAGTCTTGGAGGTGCAAATTCTTGCCCTGCTCGTCGACTGTTCGTGTGCCATGTTGTCAATTTTACTAGTGTTACTTCTATGACAAAGTACGAACTTAAAAAGGGCCAAGTTTTAACAAAATTCGACTACAATCGAAACTAATTCAAACCAAGGTTTTCAACAATTAACTATAAAAATTAACACAGCGCAGCAATTACCCAGAAGTACATAACTGATAATGAAATTGTAAGGTCGAAAAATGTCGCAGAAGTAACAAAGTGACAACATGGCACATCAAGGGCCTACGAGCACGACAAGATGTCACACTTTCAACCTGCAAATTAGATACATAATGTGACGTTTACTTCAAGCCTTTGTTTTCTTCCTTTCAGCCATTGTGCGTTATCTCGAGCGGTTTGGATGAAGTTATAATCGATATAAGGTAATCGATACTGCGATGCGGGCGAGGAGAAAGACTGAACAACAAACACCGTGTCTCAAGTGGCTGTTACTCTTGAGGGATCAAAGCCCACGCCAAGAAGGTATCTTATTAAACCAAAGTCATGTTTCTTTGTTCCTGTTATGTGAAGTATCGCTTTCCGTTCGCTGTTTGCCTCCAAACTTATAAGCTGATTCACGTCATATCTCATTACACGCTTAGCCTTTCCTGAACTACACGTATGTTCTTGGGAGCGAATAAATGTGTTATGCTTTAATGTTAAAAAGATACTCTGCACTTTTACCACACAGTGCATATATGAGCTTCGCGTGAATCACAGAATAAACAGCAATTATTTCCCTAAACAGAATGAAACTGTTGGGCTCCATAATGGAGGCGTGATATGTTTTATACTGGGTAAGAATTCAGTTTTTAAACCCTAAGTTTTGCTTAAATTCTCGTTTAAAATGGCTGAACTGTACGAGTATACCAGACCACGTTACATAAAACAGAGACTGGAGAAGAACAAGTAATTCCGTCGCACAACTTTCTTTAGAGATTTCTTCGAGATTTCATTTCGTATTCTCACGAACTTGGATTTTAAGCCATTTTAGAGCCAAGTGGTTACTATATGTACCACCTGCTTTAACACAAACTTTCAATCTGCCCACACAGCGTATTTGTGCGTATCACATGGTTCTCACGATACGTGTAAACAGTGGCTGTTTCCCTAAACAGCATTAACCAGTTGGGCTTTATAGCGGTGACGTAATGTTTCCTGTGAGGTACGACCTGAATCTTTATATAATACTTGAGGGAAATTCAGTCTTTAGAGTAGTCTCAGATTTGAGACAGTTATATATGGTCTCGAATACCAACGGACCCGGACCCGAAAAAGACTGCGCCGGCAAGGATCAGCAGCATATACAAAAGACAGACCCGTCCTCTCGTCAGAGAGGGCGCCCACAAAAAAAAAATAAAGAACAAGACTGTAACTGTCAGGCAGTAATAAAGATCTGGCCGCAAGCCCCATATGGGTGCTTTATACCAAGACAGACTGGCCGACTGACCGTCGGTCGTAAAATGAGACTGAGACTCGGTCTCTAACAGTAAAGGGGGAGTTAAGTAGCAGACCGAGTGTTTTGTATGGTTCCTGTATATAGTTAACTGTTATAGTTGCAGTATTGACTAATTTACCGACCTCAGAATATCAGAAACTCTGTTCATACGAGATCTAATCTCAGGTTGGAATACGGGGACAGCATACAACGTCCTGACGCCTAAGCTGTTATGCAACTCATCGTCACTGCCATCCTAGCGGGATGTACCCCTGCGGCAGTCGGCGAAGGTCCGAAATGGACTCTAACCGTCCAAACCATGGCGGAGACCAGGAGGAATCTTCACCATCTTCTGGAAGGAAAGCAGCTGTGCTACACGGCTTGAAGCCAATCCTCAAAGAGAGCCCCGCTAGGGGAGGAACAGCCAAGACAACCATTACTGCACCTCCATGCAGTGAGGAAGGCCGTGAGCGGAGAAGATGAAAGCGGAAAGCTTCAGGCGATGCCAGGAACATCCACTACGGCAGTAGAGGACCCTCAGTTGCGGTGAAAGATGAAGTTCCCACCCGTAACTCCGGGTTTCATTAAAGTAAAGGTCAATTCGTTCTTGTGCTTAATTAATTTAGCTTCATGCCATGATGACGTATATATCTCCGCCATTAAAGAGCTCGACACTAGATGGAGGTGAGTGATCAGCTTCACGCCCCGAGCACTCGATTCGCTGGGAAAGAGCCCTTTGGACCCATTGGACTGTGTGGGTCCCAGAGCCGGTCTGAAAGCTGTAGAGAAGAGAAAATCTCTTGCCTCTGCCGAGAACTAAACGCCGGACGTTCAGCCTCTCGCTGTATCGACTGAGCTATCCTGAATTCGGACTCAACTGGCCTGTACAATGTAAGCGGTCAAAAGCTGTACAAACTTCGTATCACATACATTGTACAGGGCAGCTGAGTCACACCGACACACTTCCCGGCTAATCTCGACCGGAGTTCCGCAAGAAATGAAGAGGTTCCAGATGAACGAACACAGAAAATGAGGCTGAATGAAAGTTAAACACATTAGTGTCACTGCGACCATGTGTTCCGTGCGAGGGAATAATGATTATCACTTCTGTACCATGGATCAGTGCATTTGTAGCCGGGAAGTGTTCATTCTTAAAGGGCACTGGCTCTGTCATATCAACTGCTCTTGTAACAGGGATATGTACATTCTGTTATGTACTTGTACTGAGCCTTCTTGCTCATTCTGAACTGACGGTATCTGTGAATTAAACATCACGTTTTCCTGTACATTCTGAAAGGACAATGTTTACAGCAATTTTCGTGTTTCTCTTTTCAACGTTTCAGCAAGTTTCCCTCTCTGCTCACTCTTTAGAGCCCTGTGGTTACTATATGTACCGCCTACTTTACCACACCAAAACTCTGTATTCTGCCCTCAGAGTGTATTTGTGTGTTCCTTACGGTTCTCACAGCAAACAGTTACTGTGTCCCTAAACAGCAGTAACCGGTTGGGCTTTGTAGTGGTGACGTAATGTTTTCTGTGAGGTACGGACTGAACATACTAAAACTCTGCATTCTGCCCACAGAGTGTATCTGTGTGTTCCATATGGTTCTCACAGCAAACAGCGACTGTTCCCCTAAACAGCAGTAACCGGTTGGGCTCTGTAGTGGTGACGTAATGTTTTCTGTGAGGTATGGACTGAACATAGTAAAACTCTGCATTCTGCCCACAGAGTGTATCTGTGTGTTCCATATGGTTCTCACAGCAAACAGCGACTGTTTCCCTAAACAGCAGTAACCTGCTGGGCTCTGTAGAAGAGACGTATTATGTTTTCTGTGAGGCAAGGTAAAGTTGTCCCTGTGCTTAATTAAGCACGACGCCATGAAGACGTATGGGGGAGTGGATGTATAGATCCACATTTTCTTGACCTCGGCACTAGTTGAGATGAGTGGTCAGCTTCACGCCCCTGTCGCTTTACCCCCATGGAAAGAGCCCCATTGAATAGGAGCTTGGGTGGACCCCAGAGCAGGTCTAGACGACGTTGAGAAGTGAAAATTCTTGCCCCCCACCGGGACTCTTTAAGTCCCACCCCTTGGTCTTCCAGCCCGTAGCCAGTCGCTATACCGACTGCACTATCTCGGGAGATACGAAGTTAATTTTTATACATTTTTTAGAAGAAACAGTTCCTCAACTTTAAGAGCTGAGTTGGAAGGCTCCCGTGGGGCTCGGAACCAGAAATCACTATGCTGGCGAGGACCAACAGCAATTTACTGGACTGGACAGCCTTTATAGGGTTACCTGCCTCTCTCTATGCAGCGTACAGCTAAGTTTACAGCTCCTTTGCTTATAGTTTACCCGATATAGCCACACTGGTGCTAGGAGAATATAAAAATAAACATCATTTACGCCTTGATGTCACTATGTGGGGCATTGTGGGTCAACAAGTGTAACAGAACGCACGGAATTGATGAACCGGCCACGCATGCGCCCTCCATGCGAAACTGAGCCACCTGTTGCTGCAGTCGACATCTGCCAAATGCACACACACTGCAAAAGTAAATGAACCATAGAGTTTTCCGCTTACTTGCCAACAATGCACCGCTAATTTCATGAATTTAATTCAATATTAATGCAACTGCTTTGGATTTGAGATCCAAAAAGAGGCGATTGTGAAGAATTTAGTCTTTTGGATTATAATATTGGGTAGTAAGCCCTAAACCCTAGGTACACCATTACCCTAAATTAAGCCACTACCCTAAAGTAAGCCTTTGCCCTGAAGCACGCCACGACCTCTTCTCCAGTCTTCCGAACTCACAGTACACTAACGTCCATTCTACCCACTGAACGTTCAATAACCTCTAAAACTCAATACCAGCTGATGAATACACCAAATCATTGTTTCATTTCATGTAGTCCTACTACTTCAACTCTTACGTCCCTACTTGCATGAGAACTTTCCGCGGAATTTAAGGAGTGCTTTAGAAGCTGTGAAAATATCCCGCGTGCTTCCACATTCCTTAAACTGGCCGAAATAATACTCCGCCATCTTTCATCTCAGGAACTACTGAACAACATATATATCTCAGAAACTACTAAGCAACACATCTATCGCGGAAACTATGCAACACACCATTTATCTCAAAAACTACTGAACAACGCATCTTTTATCTCAGAAACTACCAAGCGACACACCATTTATTTCAAAAGCTACGGAACAACGCATATTTTATCTCAGAAACTACCAAGCGACACACCATTTATTTTAAAAGCTACTTAACAACGCATCTTTTATCTCAGAAACTACCAAGCGACACACCATTTATTTCAAAAGCTACTGAATGACGCATCTTTTATCTCAGAAACTACCAAGCGACAAACCATTTATTTCACAAGCTACGGAACAACGCATCTTTTATTTCAGAAACTACTGAACAACACATCTTTTATCTCAGAAACTACTGAACCACATATAATATAAGATTCTGAATTTCCTAGGAGGTGAATGGATACGTCATTCTTTCGGTCGGCCGTCGAGACAGCTAGATTCATTCTAATATGGTACAGCAAAATTTCCCCAGGGGAAGAGCAGCCGGACCATGAAGCTGATCACTCATCTGTATCTAATGCCGAGGTTTAAAATATTTGCCGCTATTAATGTCTCTGTAACTACAGCAAGTGGCCACAAAACGCTCGGACCACTGAGTGAGAATGCCAATGCAAACTGGTACCTCATTACAGGTGGTCATGACCTGTAATGTCTGGAAGCGTACAATAACCCCTCAGTTCTACTTCACACTAGGCTTCTGGGTGAGAGATCGAGGAATCGTTATTCGACTTCTGGTATGGGAAAGTGGCGTCCAGGCCAGCTTTTGGGCCCACCCAGTCTCCTACCCAAAGCGTACCGACGGATATTTCATCGCGGGTAGAGAAACCGGGACGGGAAACTGAGAGTTACTTCCATCTGAAACTGGGGTTAATAACGCGTGGAGCTGTACCTCGGTTCCTCCAACTGTCTTCATCATCTGGTGCTTAACAATCTACTCCGTGAGCAGATTATTTCCAGTTCTTAAATATGTAACGCCGTTTCGACCATTCGTTTTTAACACGAAGAATTTTACAGATAGTGAGGCACATGATCTAGAGGACATTTGATAGAACTCGAAGAATTTTTCTAGGGAACATCTTCGATTGTGCGTCAAGTATACACAGTTTTCAATCCTGTACTCCTTCACGAATTAAGGGATAAAGCCACCATGTTGTTAGCCTTTTTTTGTCTTAGGCGTAATATAAAGTTGAAGAATATTATCTTCTGGGATATATTTTTTGTTGCTAGTGGGGTGGGACTAAGTCCCTTGTACTGCGGCCACTTCTGGCCTATTGTACCAGCCCCAGATGATAGGTGAGGGTGATTGTGGAGCTATTGGTGGAATGAAGATTGGCAGGGAAAACCGAAGTACTCGGAGAAAACCTGCCCCAGCGCCACTTTGTCCACCACAAATCCCACTTGACCAGACCCGGGATCGAATTCGGGCCGCCACGGTGGGAAGCCAGCGACTAACCGCTTGGGCTTTGGCGCGGCCGGCTTCTGAGATATAAAGCCGTGTAGTCGGTTGAAAGTCGCCGAAGATTTCGGAAGAAAATATCGCCTCCATCTTCAGGGTCTAAGAATAAGCCGAGCAAGAAACCAACGTAAAAACAGGTGCAAGGAAGTGTTTTACTTTTTTTTTGGCTTAAATTTCGACGCTGAAGATGGAGGCGATATATTCCTCCGAAATATCTGTTGTCTTTTGACGGACTATACCGCGTTATAGCCCAGAGGATGGTACGCTCCATAACCACCGCTGTGAGAACCTCAAATCCTGTAATGATAAATTTCATGAAAGAAATGCATTTTTGTGACCTGCGGGAAATGAACCGCGTACGGGGATCCAAAATTCGTCTGTGTGGGCACCACATCACTTCGCTTCACGTCCGTCCGTCCTTCCTTTCTACGCTTGCACACGGAAGACAAAATAATGCTTGTGTGGCCTTAGCGTTGGACTAAAATATTTTTCTGAGCATCCGGCAGAGTGACGACCGCAACTGATCATTCATCCGCGCCCAAAAATAGTTCCGACGCTAAGAACGTGTGCTGCTACACATCTTCGGGGTGCGGTGCTTACATTAACACGTCTCCCGCCTCATTTCCTTCCGATAGTAACGTTCTGGCTGGCGCCTAGCCACATTCCGGTCGCCAATACCACGCGAGAACTGCAAGTCCTTGTATCAGGGCGGCAGTTCGCATAGCGACCGGCTACGGGCTGGATGACGGAGGGGTCAAGAATTTTCTCTTCTCCACGTCGTCCAGACGTCCGTCCAACCTCCTATCCGGAGGGTAAAGCGGCTGGGGGTGAAGCTGACCTATCACCTCCAACTAGTGCCGAGGTCAAGAAAAACGTGGATCTATATATCCACTCCCCCATACGCCTTCAGGGCGTAGTGTTTAATTAGTTAAGCACAGGGACAACTTTACCTTCTGTACCTTTACCCAGTTTTGCACTTTGGGGCTACTTGAAACTCGTATCGTACTTTCTAGACTTGTTAAGTCACAGGAAGTGACGACCAGCACTTTTACAGCGGAAGTTGGTGCTTTACAATCTGTTTCACACGGAATTCTTTGTTAAGTACTGGAAACATATTCATCACATGTCTCTACCAACTAAATAAACAACTCCACATGTTTTAGGGTCTCTCTTAAGCAGTAAAGAGTTACTTGGCTGGACAAGAAATTCCCTGCATTCGTCAGGGTTTCTTGACGTGGACCCTATCATGACTCAGCTAATTAAAAGCTTCCAACTTCGTACCTCATTCTCCTAAGATAAATTTTAATATTATCCTCTCATCTATGTACAAGTCTTCCAACTGTTGTCTTTATCTGAAGGTTCGAAACCAAGTTTGTATACGTGTTTCTTATTTAACCATATGCGTGCTACATGTCCCGGCGGTACTCACTGAACAGGACAACGAGTGGGCCTGACATCTAGTCCGTAAGTGCTGATAATCAGACAGGTGCCTGTATCCGCGGGGACTCAAACCACCAATCGTCCAATCATAGTCAATTTACTGGCTGAACTATGCCTGACTCGTGAAACAAGAGAATAACAAGTTCCGGTTCTTCTGGTAGAAAGGTACCACAGTTTCGGAGGAGCCCGCTTCTTCAGTCTTCAGGGTACCCTGAAGAGAGTACTTTTCATATTGTCAGGTATTTTGGGTGTGACCATTGACGAGGTATGGATTGGATATTGGATTTACTGACACAACTCGGAACTACAGGTAATTACAGGGCCATCGCTGATCTCCACACTTTACAAATCACAAGCACACGCCAAGTCCTCTCCAGGCAGCAGTGACTTCAACAGCCGTTTCCTGGTAACGGATGTTAACAGTGGAGATTCTTCAGCTTCCCGCACCCAGATCCTTCATGTCCAACGAATATCCCGCAATTCCGCTGAGCAGAGCAGAAGCTTACTGCCGGCAATTAGCAGAAACGCATGTTCCTTCTCGCGATCGTTGCATAGCAACGGTACTAAACGCTACAATATTAACGCCCGTGAGAATATAAAATCTCACAAAAGAAAGAGAAATTAATTAAAATCAATTATTTTTGTGTACTGCGCTGTAGATTGACAATATTTCTGCTTTTGTTGATTCAGATATGATTTAATTTTGCATTTGTAAAAGTCAATGCAGAACTCCACTAATGAGTCTAATCAGATGCTTACTATTTCATTATTACGCAAGTCTCGCTGACAAAATTTCATACGCCACAGACTGAATGATAAACTTATTAGTATTGTCTGTATTAACGGCTGTCTGTGCTTAACAACTGCGCACACGTTATGAAGGCGTAAAGGAGGCTGGAGTTACAGACTTACTTACTTACTCATGGAGCTGAGCCCTTCTGGAGGAGCCGCCAATTCTGCAGCTACTCAAGAATTTCCCAGCATTTTATGGAACCCGAAGGTTCATCATCGTGTTCACAAGAGCCCTCCGCCGGTCCCTATCCTGAGCCAGATCTATTCAATCCACATCATGCCATCCTATCTCTCTAATATTGTCCACCCACCTATCCAAGGAATCAGTCCAGGTCCGAGGCTTTGTGTTCATTGTCGTAACATAATTTTTTTTACGGTGAGGAGTTGTTAGCCCCACGCCCAACCCCCAAGCTGGAGGACCACCCCTTGTCGGCTGTGCGCGACTGCTTATTCAATATATTCACAGCTTCCCTCCAAAACTGGAGGTCGTCTCCTCCATCCGCTACCTGAGGACGCGCCATGCCGTGGTGACAGACTACATTATAAATTTTACGCTACTCCTAAAATGAATGCCTTCTCTGGAAAACACCAAGTGGTACTTACGACGCCGCCGCCTGCAGAGTGGACGAGGACGCTCTTGCCCGGCGCCAGGCCGCCCAGCTCGAAGAGCAGGATATAGGCGACCAGGTAGTTCATGGCAATTGCCGCCGCGTCCAGGTAGCTCAGGTCGGCAGGAATGGGGTACACATACCGCGAGGGCACTGCCAGCAGCTCGGCCCAGGCGCGGTACTCCGGCAGCGCCACCACGCGGTCCCCCACCTGGAACAGACGCCCACACCAAGACCATAGAGCTCGGGGCATGGACAGAGGGACTGCATGGGGTTCGTGTAAGAGAAGGAACAACATTCCCCCTTCTTCCTTTTGGTTTCCCTTCTTCTCAAATTTCATTCCTTCTCTTGGTTTTATTAAGGTTCTTGGGGTGGGGTAAGACTGAGTTAGTTCGGTACGTCGGCCACTGACAGGCCTATTGTACCTGCACCGGTGGAATGAGAATTGGTAGAGGAAACCCAAGTATTCGGAGACAACCTGTCCCAGTGTCACTTTGCCAACCACAAATCCCACATTACCTGACATGGGCTTGAACCCGGGCTGCCGCGGTGGGAAGCTGGCGACTAACCGCCTGAGGTCTTCATTCCCTTTCTTCTGCATCTATATAATCCTCTTCTCCTCCAAAATATCTTCCTTCATCCTCTTGTAATTCTTCTCCTTAACCAACGTATTATTATCTCTCTCCTCCTCTTACTTGTCTTCTCTTCCTCTTACTGTTTTTATTCTTCAGCTCATCTTCGGACTTATATTTCTCATTATCCTCCTCTTCCTTACATATCATCCTCTCTTTCTCCTTTTCTTTATGTCTCTGCTTCCTCTCCTCATCCTACTTGTACTTATTCCTTTTCTATTTCTACTCGTAATTCTAGTTATATTTATTTTCGTCTTTCTACTTCTTATTCCTATCGCCCTTCTTCTACCCGCATTTCCTTTTGACAATTTTCTCCTGCCCCTCCGGTTCCCTGACCTCCAAAACTGTTTGCCCCCTGGACCTCCCATAACTAGACCAGGGGTCGGGGGGATAGGCCACACACAGAGCGCCCTGGGTCTCCCATAACTAGACCAGGAGCAGAGGGGTAGAACACGCATAGAACGCCCTGGGTCTCCCATAACAAGACCAGGAGCAGAGGGGTAGAACACGCAGCACAGAGCGCCCTGGGTCTCCCATAACTAGACCAGTGGTCGGGGGGATAAGCCACGCACAGAGCGCTCATGTGCGTGGGTCACTGCTTCTTCGGTCCCTGGAGCAACATAATACAAGAGAGTGACAGAGTGCGTGCGTGTGTGACAGAGACGGAGTCATCTCTTAATTAGCACGAACAGAAGCAGACTTCGCTGCAGCGACCTCTTGATTGGCATCTGCGCGGGAAGCGGCAGGTTCTTCACACCGTCAAGCTCTACAGCCGGATCTGAAGTGGAGTCAAGTCCAGGATGAAGGTGATTCGTTCGAATTACTCAACACTTCACGCCATTGTCCCGTAGTCACACATTCCAGTCACTGACGCCTCGATCAGAATGAAAGTACTTCACACTCTTAAACAACTTAACTGTGTCATGATCCCCTGACGCATGCACTACAATAACAATCCTGCTGGGAATTACCACTTAATTTCTGTGGCGTGCGTAACGTCGTATATTTGTTGTTTGCCGAATGATGTGACAGAACGGCCTTGGTTGAAACTAATGACAGGTCCTCTTAAATAAATTCAAATGAATTTACGAGTTGAAGTGAAGCATGGCAGAGATGAGCCAGATGTGATGTTCACAGACACAGGAAGAGACATACCGCGCATCGCGTGGTCACAATTTGCGACACGAAATCACACCAACGATGGGAGTGAAGTAGTTGAGATGTACATAAGCTATGTACGTAATGTCTATTCCAAAAATATCGACTATATCCAGTAATATGATGGATAGTTCCGAATTCCTAACTCTATAAAGAATTTTATAATATTACAGAAAATCCTGCTTACGACGGAAGGATTACATAAATTGAAAAATCCAGTAAACTCACTGGGAATCAAACCAGCGGCCTTCCGATTTCTAACATAGAGCCTCAATCAACTACGCTACCGCGTGTTCTTATTTAGTTAACACTTGACTGAAGTTACCTAAATATAAAAGGCAAAGTTGCCACTGTGTTTAATTAATCACTACGCCATGAAGGCATACGGGGGAGTGGAGGTATAGCTGTATAGATGGAGGTCAGTGGTGAGCTTCACCCCCCCGGAACCCATTGGATAGGGGACAGGGTAGGCTCCAAAGCCTGTCTGGGCGTTCTGGAGAAGAAATCTTACCAATGTCGTGGAAGCTTCCTGCTGAATCTCATATTTATGCAAAATAATACGAGGGACAATGCAATTATCACACAGTATGGTGTGTATTCTGCTGCAGTACCCTTCCACCCCTACTCAGACACACCCCTATTAAACACGAGTTGGGATGGTGGGTATACTGACGGGCTACAGTCTAGACAGCTGGAGTTCGATTCCTGACAAGAGCAGGGACTTTTCTCCACAGTGTCCAGACCGGCTGTGGCCCATCCAGCTTCGTAACCACTGAGTGCCGTGGACTGTTTCCCCAGGGTAAAATGGCTGAGGCGTGAAGCCCACCACTCACCTCCATCTAGTGCCGAGGTCCCCCCCATGTCTTTGTGGCGTGATGCTTAATTAATTAAGCATAGGGGCTACTTTACTTTACCTTTACCCCTATAAAGGGACATTTAAGGGCGAAACGGCCGGTGGACTTTTTATAGAAATTTCATTGTATGCAGTTTTCCCCACGTGCGAATGACTCACCTTGAAGTCCGTGACACCTTCCCCGATATCGTCCACCTCACCGGCACACTCAAACCCCAAGATGAACGGTGTCTTCGGAGGGGAATCAATAGCACCTTGACGGACCATCAAGTCCTGAAAGTTGAGCCCACTGCAACCAGAGACACACATATAATCTGTCAGTTGCCTAACCAGTATAAGGTAACCGCAGTGAGAAAGGAAACAAACAAAACCCGACTTACAAAGCTCAGTGGTCACTATGTGTACCACCCGCTTTAACATACTGAATCTCTGAATTCTGTCCACAAAGTTTATCCATCTTAATATTATACTACCACCATCTGCTTCGTTTTCGAAGAGGCCACTAGGGACTGAGATTTCAATTATTCAATCAACACTGCTTCTGTAAGTTTACCCGTACCAGAACAGTGAATTCTATTGAGTCACCGTGTCTTGGCAACAAGATCACTGTTATGTGTTCCTTTGAAACTTAAAATCAGAGCTGAATATTCTGTAATTCTGAACGATGCCAATGACATACGACAAAAGAAGAGAGCGGACGGCTGTCCAGGTATCGGAAACGTGACAAACGAGGGTGACTGACATAGACGAACATGCTTTGCGGATTTACGTTACAGAATGCAAGACCGGTCTGATGAATCACTAGCGAGTTTAATTTCGTGGTTATTTCCATTTCCTTCTTCTTTTACGCTATCATTTTGAAACTGCAGAAGAAATGGCCGTCCTCTTCATCCGTTCCTAACTATCTTTTGGGCCTGCAGCGACACACCGAATGTCTGTCTGTCCACTGATGCAACAATAATTCAGTGCCACAGACACTACTATAAGGAGAGTCAGTAAATGGTTCACAAACGGATGCGAAACATACGGTATTCCAAACTGAAAATAACATTTCTCGACATAACCTCCACCAACACTGATACACTTGTCCCATTGCTTTACCAGTGCGTCGAAACCCGCAGCATTGAAGTTTTTTGAATGATGTCTAAGCTACTTCCATATCAGCTGCAATTTTCCAATGTCCTTGAGAGAATTTCTCGACCCAATTGTGAACCGCTTCATGCGACAAACACTTCCACCGTAAACAGAAAGCATTTCTTTATGAATATCCATTCAATTGAGTCATTTTGCCAACAAAAAAAAAGGCACAACAGAGCGATGCTCTTCGGTAGTACTCCCCTTAAGCACGGTCGCCATTTTGAATACTGAAACCAGCCTCTGAACATGCGCATGAGCGTCTGCTACCTGGGCTATCATGAAGCTGGACCGTGCTGCTACCTAGTGATACATATAGAAACCTTTAAGTCCATTACATATGTTTTACTTTCATTTGTGGCCTGTTTGCTGACTCTCACTCACTTGATTAATTTCTGCTTCCAGCTACATTTTCAGGCATAGGCTCTCAAACTGCGGTACGATGAGGCCTTTCAGATGGCGATTTTTGAAATCAAATGCTGGGAGGAGGAGGCGTGTACCAAACCCTACAGTTAAGAACTGCGCAAACGGGTCCCACTTGTTTTTGTGACCAGCTGGGATTATCGCTGAGAGAAGTCAAGACAGCTTCCTTTCAGATCCTTTCCATTTCATCATTCATCTACAGCCTACCATTTGACACAAGACAGTCCAGTTACTGACAGGTAAAACAGTTAAACTTGTCTCTGTGCTTCATTAATCGAGCATTATGCCATGAATGCGTATAGGGGAGTGGAGGTTATCTCCACAGTTCCTGATCTCGGCATTAGATAGAAGTGAGTGGTCAGTTCCACGGCCCGGCTGCATTACCCCCGGTACCCATTACATACAAGGCTGGTTGTACCTCAGAACCGGTCTGGACGCTGTCGAGAAGATAAAAATTTTGACCCTGCCAAGAATCGAACCTCGGCCGTCCAACCCGTATCCCATCTCTATACCGAATGAGCTATCCAGACTCCTGTCTAGATACTGACAGTGTCATGAAGTAACCCACAAGAAAATGAGCACTTTTCCTGTTCTTAGAGTTGGCGTTTTATGCAACCGGAAGGAAAATTTCCCCCACATTCGAGCCAAATGCAATAAGAACACAATGTCACCATTAAGAGGCAAGATAGGGGCCACTTCCGGTAGCTGACTTGTGATTGATGCAAGGCCAGGCAGACAGGCACTTGTTTGATACAGAGAAACCCAACTGGTCTCCAACCAAAAGCAAAGGGCGATAACCTTGGTCACAGAATTATTTGAAAGTTTGTGACGATGGTGCATTAGTACAAATATTTGTAATGTTGTATTTTAGCGTCCTGTGGCACTGATTTTCATCCATGATTTTTGTAATGGCCGTCTTGTAGTGCACTCAATTTCACATGTCACTTCTTACTGCATGTTTCGGCAACATAGTGCCATCTTCAGGTTCGTTATTTACGCTAAGCTATTACATTGTTTGCCATCTTTTGTCTTTCATAAAATTATTTAAAAAGTACATTATTCGTCAACAATAATAAAATGTATATATACTAAAACGCTCGCAGCCAAAAAGGAAGGACACATCACAGACACAGTACACACAGAAACGACTCCCACAGCGGACGAACCATACTATACGCGAGCTTGAATTAAGACATATAGATGAATAATCTTAACAAGTTTTAGTATATACAAATTTTATTATAGTTGACGAATAATGTACTTTTTAAATAATTTTATGAAAGACACAAGATGGCAAACAATGCAATAGCTTAGCGTAAATAACGAACCTGAAGATGGCACTATGTTGCCGAAACATGTAGTAAGAAGAGACATGTGAAATTGAGTGCACCACAAGACGGCCGTTACAAAAATCATGGACAAATATTTGTGTTTCTGAACATTATCCATTGTCTTGCTTTTGTAAAACACACAACGTTTCGGAGACTGGATTCTGTCTCCGTCTTCAGGTGAAACCTACTCAGTTGGGCCCAATAAATAGGTTAACACCTACCTCCGGACCGGAATAGGGAGACAGAACAGTCTCCGAAACGTCGTGTGTCTTAATTAAGAACAGGACGATGGATAATGTCCAGAAACACAAATATGCACAGAATTATTCTATACCTAGTGTTCGTATAGTCTATTTTGCAACTCAGCTCCAACTAGTGTCGAGGTCAAGAAAACGTGGATCTATACATCAGCTCCCCCATACGTCTTCATGGCGTAGTGCTTAATTAGTTAAGTACGGGGACAATTTTACCTTTTTAGCTTTTACCTATTTTGCAACCGACCGAAATTCGAGCGAAGAACTTTCCGCATATGAATTAAAATAGCGTTACCGCTCTACCAGCTCGCTCTATGAACGGTGTGGCGAACTGAAGGAAAAAGAAAGAAGAACTTTTGTTCGTGCAGACATTCGAATCCCGAATGCCCAGTCCGTAGCCAGTCACTTCATGGACTGAGCTATTTGGGCGTTCTGCAACTCATGAACTCCGTGGTGCTGGGTCCGGTCAAAATATCTAAACCTTACCCCCGGTAGACATTGGGTAGGAGGCTGGGTGGTCCCCAGAGCCGGTCTGGACAACATGGAGAAGTGAAAATGCTTGTCCCCACCGGGACACAAACTCCGACCACTTGGTAGTCCAGCCCGTAGCCAATTTTTTTCAAATTCTCCTGTTTATTGGAATTGCATGTTCTTCCTAGCACCCACAAAGAACTTCAATCTATGCTCTACCATTAAATTTCTGGACCAGGTTTCATACCCGTGGCTCTATGTATGGATTCTTACACAGGGGACAGGAAAATAAACGGTTCTGAACTGAATGGTAACAAGCATTTCCCTCCACGAGGAAAGTTTCCATAACATTTTCACTTTCGTGTTGAAAGGGAGGAGCTCCTGGCACGGCCCAACTTAGCAGCCTTGCTTTACTCCCTAAGCTATTTTTTCCTTCAGCGGTAGCTATGAACTCCCCCGTTTCCATTAATTGATCTGTTGCCATTTTGTCTGCTCTGGTATTGAATGTGTACAGGGCATACGACTGCTTGGCGCCTACATGGGGGCAGGGGGAGAGATCATGGCCACTCGCCCCACCTTCCCCGTAACCAGGGGCGACACACGTTACAAAGCACGCAATTTCAAGACTAACGTTTCTGTTCTACAGAAAACGAACCTAAACGTGTCGCTGTAATCTAGAAATGGTGAGTTCCTGGCTATAGATCCAGAGGTCCGGGTTCGGTTCCCGGCGCTACCATATTTTCTGAGCAGTAGTGGGTCTGGAAAGGGGTCCACTCAGTCTCGTGATGATAATTGAGGAGCTATTTCAAGGAAATAACGGCTCCGGTCTAGAAACCCGAAATTAAAGGGCGTGGGGATACGTTGCGCTGATAACGTGACCTCTATCCGCTAAAGTTGGCACTAACTTCGCCGACAAGCGGCGGTCGTTCTGTCGGTATAGTTCACTTGCTGACTAAAACCACGGAGTTTTTTTTATTATACTGAAGCAGCCTGTTGCACTGTGTATGCTACATGACAATTCGCACTTCTCGCCGATCCTGTGCAACTTCATCGATGTATTAAAGTTCACGCTTCAGAAAACAGTCTAACTGGCTGCCTTCATCAGGTGTGCAAGTTTTATAGAAACTGCTGGTCCCTTATCACGCTGCCACACTTTGTATTTTAAAGGCGTAAACTACTTTCAAAATATCGTGGCTCGTAGATCCGTTGCTAGGAAACGGCCAGTAAACAGCAAGAGAAGAACGGTGTTTTCTGTGCGGTCCGTGCTGAGATGTTATATGCAGGGCAGTTAGTGAGGGGTGAGTTCAGTCAGTGGAGTGCAGTCAGCTGGTTAGTTATTGAGACAGAGGACTGCCGCGGTTGAGTGGTTCTGAGTTGTTGCTGTGAGTAACTGGTAGCTGAGGCCTGGGACAGTTCGGAATCCCAGAGGAAGGGGGACATCAACCGTTGGAAGCCGTTACCAGACAACGACTGGTGAAGACATGGCAGGCTGAAAAGACTTCTGTATGTGCTCTAGTGAACTGTAAAGTGTGTGAATTAGTGAAACGATTATAATTGTAATCACGAATATGTAAATGTTCAATAAATCCAATTACCATTCCAAACCCCGTCTATAATCACAATATCACGTGACAAAATTTTAATATATTTTTTTTTTAAATTATCATGCCGTGATT